ATAAACGTTTAGAATTTCTTGCCTCTAATCATAGACCATTTCGCACGAAGTGGTTTAAACAATTTGGCAAGATGGAACAAGAATAGACTAGGAAAATCTATATGAGGGGCAATTACCAGGAAAAAAAATGAGATTAAGAGTTTGGCCAACAGTAGTGGCGGGGTTAGAAGGAGAGCCATGATGGAGGCGGAGCATGAGCTTGAAAAACTCATTAAGGAAGATGGGATGCATTGGATACAGAGATCTCGAGAAGACTGGATCAAATGGGGCGATAGAAATACAAAATGGTTTACTAGTCACAGAAGGAAGATTAACATGATTATGATTATGAGACTTCTTGACAATGATGATCACATGATCAGTGGACAAATAAGGAAGAATATACTAGCAGAATTGCTTCGTCCAATTTTCAAAATTTGTTATTCTCAACAATCCAAACCTTGCAGATGTAAATATATTCTTGGAGGCAATTTGGACGACAATCTACCACTCACAGAATAGTGAACTTGGAAAAGATCTTACTTTGAAGGAGATCAAATTGGTGTTAAAGGATATCTCCCTACAAAGGCCTTGAGACCTGATGGGTAATTAGAAGCTTTTTATTTATTTATTAAAAGTACTGGGATATTGATGGGGAGACAACTAGAATTACTGTTGATGCAGAAATTTAGCCTCCGTAGATCTCACCAAATTCTCACAAATCTTCTAGAATTAAAGGGATCAACGAGCTTGCAAAACAGAATAACACTAACACTGGTGTGGCTTTTGCCACACGGGCTCCGATGCTTAAGTTAGTATCAGAGTAGTCGAGTATAGAGAGTACGGTATTTAGGCATACCTTTAGAGTTTGATTCACCCTCTTATTTATAGAAATCAAATCCTAATCCGTTTAGGAATTATAGAAGTCGAATCTCAATCCTTTTAGGATTTACATAAGTCGAATCCTAGTGTACTCAGGAGATCTGGACACCTGGGCTCATGCATTTCATCATGGGCCTAATGTTGAATCAAGGGTCGAGACAAGATAGGTTCAGGGTGGGCGACACAGAGGTTGAGAGTGAACTGAAGGAGGGTTCTCGGCCGTTGAACGAGAACACCAAGGCACCCCAAAGGTCTCGACGCCAAGGCCTGGTCGGCCCTAGTCGACCTGGGTCGGTGGGTTTTGGTGCTTACCTAGTTCGTGCACTTCTCCCCCAACCTAATCTCCACTTCTGTCGCTTGGTCAGCTCCATTTTTATCTTCCCATAATAGGTACAGACATAGAACATCTCAACAAAATGGTCATTGTCCGCATCTCAAAGATAAAGGAACCAAAGCAAATGAAAGATTTACGGCCAATTAGCTTCTATAATGTTATATAAAAAATTATTGCGCAGACCCTTGAAAATAGGTTGAAAAAAAGTGCTCGACAAGATTATCTCTCCAACTCAATTAGCTTTCGTGATTTCGGATAATGCAATCACTGGGTTTGAGCTGAAGGGATTGGATCCCGCGGCAAAAGCGCGCGAACGCGTGTGCTTCGATCTTGTCTTAGAATTGCAACAAAGAAAAGATACATAAACATGAATAACAAGAAGTTAGTGATATATACCTTTAAAGACACCTCTTCAGTGTAGACACCAACGCCACCACAAAGTCTTTGTCACTATCATCTGGATATTAAGAACTCGGTTTGTGGGAACCGTCTTATAATTGAAAGAGAAATTGATAAATCAAGAGAGAGCTTTTCTCGTTTAAAGTTTTGGAAACTCTGTCAACCGACGTTCGGACTATCGAAAGGAAATGAGAGAGCCTCTCCTTTATTGGGAAGGAAGAGTGAAGACACTTCCCCACTCACTTCTCCACTTCCCACCATTAAAGGTGGGAAGTGGGAAAACCTCCCCACTTAATGGTGGAAAGTGGGAGGTTTTCCTCCCATTTTCCTTTTTTTTTCTTTTTTTTCTTTTATTTTAATTAAAACGAATTTAATTAATTACAAAAAAAGAATTATTAATTTAATTTAATTAATCTAATTTAATTTAACCAAATTAATATATCACATTAATTTAATTAAATTAAACTTAGATTAATCAACTATATTAGAATCAAATTCTAATATTCATCTCTCTCATAATTTTGAATCCAATTCAAAATTAACTTTATATTATAATGTGTCAACAAATTGCATCTCATACAATTAACCTTAATTTCCTTTAATTAATTTGAACAATTCAAATTCTTTTCAAGACTAACTATTCTTAACTATCCTTTACGAGCAAGCAAGGGGACCTAATGGACCTACAGATCGGAAGCTACAACGATACGAGATTAATTGATTAAATTCATTAACCATATTAATCAACATTTGTTAACTGTCGGTCACTCCACTAAAGACCCATCGTTGCACTCTTCTCACTATAGAATATTTTGCGTCCATGGATTTTGACCATTAATGGTAAGTAAATCCTTCACAAGTGTTCGTAACCACAGCTGGGTCAAATTACCATTTTACCCCTGTATTACATCTTATGTCTTAAGTACCGCTGATCCTCTAATGAACAACCCGGTTATGGTCCAATCAATAATCGGAAGTCCCTCTCTGACCAGTGAGAGGGTGGGGCCCCTTGTTCAAGTCCCGGAGTCAGCACTTAAGAGAACACTCATCTACTTACCCTAAAGTCAAGAAGAAGTGAATTTCATCTTGTGTAGTTATGTTTCCAGCTCCTCACTCGGTCTCGCCCAAAAATGGTAGGCATATTGAGTCGGCGACTCGAGTCACTCTCACCCATACAAATCAAAGGACGAGCCCTAATAGGCAGGAGTTCATAACTCACTCAGGATTGAGATTGAGTTACCTGGTCATCCTATTGAAATATTAATCTATTAGCTAACGCTGTTACAACTAAAGATTAATTATTTCGTGGTCCGGTCTTATACAAACTCATTGTATAGGATACCCCGGAAGTTCGAGAAGTATACCTCAACTACAGTCTCACTCGAACAAGTACTAATGGAGATCAAAGATACCCCAACTACAGTCTCACTCGAACAAGTACTAATGGAGATCAAAGACCAAAGGTTGCTCAAATGGCCGGAGAGGATGAAAGCACCTCCAAGTAAAAGAAGCAAAGGACAATATTGGCTTTTCCACCGAGACCACGGCCATGCTACTCAAGATTGCTTTGATCTCAAAGAAGAAGTGGAAGGACTCATCCGGAGCGGATATCTCAAAGAATATGTGGAGGATCCTAAAGCGACTCAAAATGGTGAGAACGACAGTAATTCACCCGTTCGAGAAATCCGAACAATAATGGAAGGTCCGGTAGAGAGAGAATCCAGTAGAAAGAGATAGGCAAGCATACGAGAAACCAGGGCGAGCCTCAGACAACATGAGATCTATCATGCATTTGTTGCAGAACAACCTGCAAAACTCGAGTTCTCAGAGGATGAGGCGACTCACCTCTTCCACCCACATAACGATGCACTGGTTATCACTCTGAAAATAGCCAATGCAAAGGTGCATCGAATCTTGGTAGATGGGGGCAGCTCGACATATATCATTTCCTTGACAGCTTACAAAGCCATGGATCTGGGAGAGAAGGCGCTTAAAAGTAGCCCGGTACCACTAGTAGGGTTTGGAGGAGAACGGGTCATCCCTGAAGGTAGAATAGAATTGCCGGTGATGTTCGGAAGCGGGCCAAAAAGCATCATTAAAATGGTAGACTTTTTAGTCGTCTACTACGCATCATCCTATAATGTGATATTAGGAAGACCAAAAATGCACATGCTCAAAGAAATACCATCCACATACCACCAGTCTATGAAATTCCCAACATCTAGTGGAATAGGTGAGATTAAGGGAGAGCAACGAGTATTACGTGAGTGCTACAACGCTTCTATGAAGGGTAACGACAGAGCTTCTACTATGGGTAACTATTGAATTTTCTTTCACTCAACCAACGAGTATAGGATAGATTTAAGATTGTTTGTTTTTTATCTCACGAAATTTAAGATTATTGGTTTTTACGTTTTGATTCAATAACGTATCCATTATCTACGTACTTGAGTACTCCCTATCAACTTTTATATACTCCGAAAGTAGGGGGCATAATAATATATCAATCTACATCAAACGACAGAAATTGGAAAGAAGAATTAAAGATCTCGAGCACGGCCAAACCAAAAGCAGGTCACTTGACCTAGCATGGTTAAAACATAAGATGGAGCAAAATCAGAAGCCAAACAACAGCAACCAAAGGTACAAAACCATTAGCCATAGCCAAAGGGTTAGAAACCTATAAGAAGTAAAGGCTCGAAAATCAACTTCATCAGAATTAGATCCGTACGTAAGCTAATAATTTTTTGTTATAGAGAATTTATTGATAATTCCAGAGGTAGCAACAAATAAAGATAATGACAAAACTATTGGGTGTATTGCCCTAAACTCGTAGTTTGTATTTATGTAAAAACATACGTATATTCAATAAAGTTTTATTCAATCAATTTGTTGTTAAATTCATAGCATTGCATTGTCCAAAATCCAATAAACTAAACATCCAAGGTTATTATCATGTAACCGGGACAGTATATCTACTGGGTGTATATTTGATATACTGGGTATATATTTGATATACCCCTGATATACTAGGTATATATTTGATATACCCCTGCTATACAACTGGATAATGTTTCGAGAATAACCTAAAGGGTCTATAGTAAGATAAGGTTGGGTACCTTATCGTGGCAACACTATGGATACGGCCCACTTTGTAAATGTTACAGCGACTCGATCCAGGTTCTTCCTGTGAAGACATGCGAGTGGGGTATCCTATACAATGAGTTTGTATAAGACCCGACCGCGAAATATCCAATCTTTAGATGTAACACTGTTAATTATCAGATTGCTATTTCTTAGAATGACCAGACAACTCATTCTCAATCCTGAATGAGTTATGGACTCCTGCCTGTGAGGGCTCGTCCTTTGATCTGTATGGGTGAGAGCGGCCCGAGTCGCCGACTCAACATTCCTACCATTTTGGAGACGAGACCGAGTGAGGAGTTGGGAACACAACTTCAAAAGATGGAATTTACTCATCCCCCACCTTAGGAGAGTAGATGAGTGTTCTCTTAAATGCTGACTCAAGGACTTGAACAAGGTGCCCCACCCTCTCATTGGCTCGAGAGTGACTTCCGATTATTGGTCGGACCATAACCAGGTTGTTTATTAGAGGAGCGTGGTATTTAAGGAGCAAGATGTAACTCAGGGGTAAACGGTAATTTGACCCAACTTGAGTTACAAGCATTCGTGAAGGATTGACTTGTCATTAATGGTTGTATATCCGTGGACACGAATATTCTGCAGTGAGAAGAGTTCAGCTCGGGTCTTTAGTGGACTGACCTGTAGTTAATGAATGTTGATTAACTCGGTCAATGAGTTTGACTGATTAATATCGTATTGTTGGAGCTTCTAATCTATAGGTCCATTAGGTCCCCTTGCTAGCTAATAACGGGTAAAACGAGGATCAAGTTTTTTGGAAGAGTTTGAACTGTTCAAATTGCTCAAGGGAATATATGTATATTGATACATTATAATATATAGTTAATTCTAAATTAAAACTATATATTATGAGAGAAATTATTTGAATGAAATTCAAATAAAATTAATATGAATAAGATTCATAGGTTAAAAATAATATGCATAAGATGTATATTACAACTATAGGTTATATGAGAGAAATGCCATAGAATATGATTCTATTTTTGCAATAAATAATTAAGTGTTAATTATTTATTTGATTTATATATATATAAATAAATAGATAAATATATCTATATCTATATATATATTAATTATTATTATTGATTAATAATATTAATATAATTATAATTAATAACTCCCCTGCAAAAATGTAGGGGAGTTGGGAGTTAAGTGACGTGGGGTAACTCCCCACGTCATAAGTTTTTGTTTAAGTTTTTTTGTAGAAAGGTTCTGCAAAATATAGAATAGAAAAACTCTTAAGCAATTTCTCTCAAGGGGTTTAAAATTAATTAGACCTTAGGTTATATCTGATGAAACTTTAGACATGCACAGCGGAAGCTGATGATCATAACACACTTAATGAAGCAATTTAACTAAAATATGATTAAAAAGGTAAAGAGGAAGTGATTAACTTTATACCTTTGAAGACCTCCACTATAACTTATTCTCCTAACTCAATGGGACCACCAACGGCAATCTGTGCTATTCTCGGGTTGATGAACACGATTGTGGGACCGAATTTTGAGTGAAAGCAAAAGGAAAGCACTAATGGCTAGGAGAAAACAATAGAAATTTGAGTGGAAAAATTCTGCACTTATGCAAGGAAGCATTAGCATTCTCCAAGTGATCTCTATCGCCTATATAAAGACCAAATGCATGTAAGGACAGACCTTGCATGCTTTCCACTTCAAACCCCACTAGCATGTAAAAGATAGGTGTCATTGCCTTGAAGAAACACTTAAAAAACCACTAGTTAGTGAAGTTGGATTTTCCACTAACTTGATTTTTTAAATAAAACTTTTATAAAACTAATTTTATAAAAACAAAAATTGGAATATCAATTTTCTATTAAAACAAAAACCAAGCCAAATTAATGTCTCATATTAATTTGTAACGCCACGCGTTCTCTGACTTGTTTATTTTAAGAGATAAATAGTGTCTTTGGATTTTTCCTTAAGTTGATAACTTTAATTCTTTGATTTTATAGTTTTTAAATTCTAATTTTTGGCTAAATTAGAATTAAGTTTAATTTCATTGAATTAAGATAATTTAAGTTCTTGACCTTTGTAGGAGTTTTTTAGTTAAATATTAAATTCACGGTTTTTAGGATTTTTTTTCCTAAATTATACTTTGTCTTTGGATTATTATTCTTGGGTTTTAGAGTTTCAGTTAACTATTTTATTTCGGGTTGTTGCGGGTTTTATTTGATTTCTAAAGTATAATTATTGGGCTTATTGTTTTAGGTCATTTTGTTTTTTTAGTTGGGCTTCCTTTAAGAATAAGGGATTGAGCTTTTAGTATTAACAACAAATAAAGGAAAAGGGAAATGAAGAGAAAATTTAAACAAGGAACCCTAGGTCCCCTCCCTTATTTCTTCCTCTTCTTCCTCCCAACACCCGTAGCCGTCCCTCACCTTGTGGTTCCATCCTTGCCGCCCAGCCATCCCCATCTCCGGCGAAGCAGCGAACGGCGGTGACG